TATTCTCATTACGGGTTGCCATTCCCCGTCATTTCCATTTCCATTATCTTTCCATATGTCTTATTACGTCCTACTCTCTGTTGTTCAACAAGATTTTCGTAAATTAAAGACTCGTGCTTGTAAGGTATTTATTCTTTTTTTAAATATTAAATATTTCAGAGCCTAAATATTTTTAATATTGTTTTTTCTTGCGTATGAATGACAGTTTTGTTATAAGAACCAGATACGTTTCGACAGTTTCGTAAATCATACGATGTGTTGTTGTCAAACTTGTATATACTTGTGTATGCAGGCATACACCGTGCGGAGTATATATTTCAGTATATACGCTAAAAGTTTCCTTTAATGCTTATTATAAGAATTAAAGTATTCTAGAGTGAACTTAAGACCTTCCTGGAGTTGTAAGACCTTAAACCCCATTGACCAACTTTACACACCTATTTAAAAGCTATGCTAGCCACGATTTTTAATATATTCCTTCACTGTAAGTGCCTTTTTTTTAGTGAAGGGCTCTTGATCCAACGAACCGGAGCTGTCCCCTTGGTTAAATTTTATTACCGTTCATTTTTCCCCCAGGCAGTGTGAACCTCCTTACAGTTCGTGAGGCCAAGAAGACGGATTAACAACTTGGATGACGAGAGGTAAATGATTTAGATAATTGACAAATTGAAGAATGAGACACTTGGGCAATATTTGGGTTTGTTTATTGTGCAAACGTTTCGCCAGCCAATGATTTCTTCAGTATAATACAGAGAAGAATGGTGGAAGATGAAGAGTTTGAGGCAATCAGTCCCTCAGCCTGAAGTCGATGTGTTTAGTCCATCAAGACTGATGTAGTGAACACATCGACTCAAGGTTTCACTTCTGCCGAAGGTGACCGCCTCCTGCAACATGCAAGTCCTGCCGAAAGTGACCGCCTCCTGCAACATGTAAGTCCTCCCGAAAGTGACCGCCTCCTGCAACATGCAAGTCATGCCGAAGGTGACCGCCTCCTGCAACATGCAAGTCCTGCCGAAGGTGTCCGCCTCCTGCAACATGCAAGTCCTGCCGAAGGTGACCGCCTCCTGCAACATGCAAGTCCTGCCGAAGGTGACCGCCTCCTGCAACATGCAAGTCCTGCCGAAGGTGACCGCCTCCTGCAACATGCAAGTCCTGCCGAAAGTGACCGCCTCCTGCAACATGTAAGTCCTCCCGAAAGTGACCGCCTCCTGCAACATGCAAGTCATGCCGAAGGTGACCGCCTCCTGCAACATGCAAGTCCTGCCGAAGGTGTCCGCCTCCTGCAACATGCAAGTCCTGCCGAAGGTGACCGCCTCCTGCAACATGCAAGTCCTGCCGAAGGTGACCGCCTCCTGCAACATGCAAGTCCTGCCGAAGGTGACCGCCTCCTGCAACATGCAAGTCCTGCCGAAAGTGACCGCCTCCTGCAACATGCAAGTCCTGCCGAAGGTGACCGCCTCCTGCAACATGCAAGTCCTGCCGAAGGTGACCGCCTCCTGCAACATGCAAGTCCTGCCGAAGGTGACCGCCTCCTGCAACATGCAAGTCCTGCCGAAGGTGACCGCCTCCTGCAACATGCAAGTCCTGCCGAAGGTGACCGCCTCCTGCAACATGCAAGTCCTGCCGAAGGTGCCCGCCTCCTACAACATGCAAGTCCTGCCGAAGGTGACCGCCTCCTGCAACATGCAAGTCCTGCCGAAGGTGACCGCCTCCTGCAACATGCAAGTCCTGCCGAAGGTGCCCGCCTCCTACAACATGCAAGTCCTGCCGAAGGTGACCGCCTCCTGCAACATGCAAGTCCTGCCGAAGGTGACCGCCTCCTGCAACATGCAAGTCCTGCCGAAGGTGCCCGCCTCCTACAACATGCAAGTCCTGCCGAAGGTGACCGCCTCCTGCAACATGCAAGTCCTGCCGAAGGTGACCGCCTTCTGCAACATGCAAGTCCTGCCGAAGGTGACCGCCTTCTGCAACATGCAAGTCCTGTCGAAGGTGACCGCCTCCTGCAACATGCAAGTCCTGCCGAAGGTGACCGCCTCCTGCAACATGCAAGTCCTGCCGAAGGTGACCGCCTCCTGCAACATGCAAGTCCTGCCGAAGGTGACCGCCTCCTGCAACATGCAAGTCCTGCCGAAGGTGCCCGCCTCCTACAACATGCAAGTCCTGCCGAAGGTGACCGCCTCCTGCAACATGCAAGTCCTGCCGAAGGTGACCGCCTCCTGCAACATGCAAGTCCTGCCGAAGGTGACCGCCTCCTGCAACATGCAAGTCCTGCCGAAGGTGACCGCCTCCTGCAACATGCAAGTCCTGCCGAAGGTGCCCGCCTCCTACAACATGCAAGTCCTGCCGAAGGTGACCGCCTCCTGCAACATGCAAGTCCTGCCGAAGGTGACCGCCTCCTGCAACATGCAAGTCCTGCCGAAGGTGACCGCCTCCTGCAACATGCAAGTCCTGCCGAAGGTGACTGCCTCCTGCAACATGCAAGTCCTGCCGAAGGTGACCGCCTCCTGCAACATGCAAGTCCTGCCGAAGGTGCCCGCCTCCTACAACATGCAAGTCCTGCCGAAGGTGACCGCCTCCTGCAACATGCAAGTCCTGCCGAAGGTGACCGCCTCCTGCAACATGCAAGTCCTGCCGAAGGTGACCGCCTCCTGCAACATGCAAGTCCTGCCGAAGGTGACTGCCTCCTGCAACATGCAAGTCCTGCCGAAGGTGACCGCCTCCTGCAACATGCAAGTCCTGCCGAAGGTGCCCGCCTCCTACAACATGCAAGTCCTGCCGAAGGTGACCGCCTCCTGCAACATGCAAGTCCTGCCGAAGGTGCCCGCCTCCTACAACATGCAAGTCCTGCCGAAGGTGACCGCCTCCTGCAATATGCAAGTCCTGCCGAAGGTGCCCGCCTCCTGCAACACGCAAGTCCTGCCGAAGGTGCCCGCCTCCTGCAACACGCAAGTCCTGCCGAAGGTGACCGCCTTCTGCAACACGCAAGTCCTGCCGAAGGTGACCGCCTTCTGCAACACGCAAGTCCTGTCGAAGGTGACCGCCTTCTGCAACACGCAAGTCCTGTCGAAGGTGCCCGCCTCCTGCAACATGCAAGTCCTGTCGAAGGTGACCGCCTTCTGCAACACGCAAGTCCTGTCGAAGGTGACCGCCTTCTGCAACACGCAAGTCCTGCCGAAGGTGACCGCCTTCTGCAACACGCAAGTCCTGCCGAAGGTGACCGCCTTCTGCAACACGCAAGTCCTGCCGAAGGTGACCGCCTTCTGCAACACGCAAGTCCTGTCGAAGGTGACCGCCTTCTGCAACACGCAAGTCCTGTCGAAGGTGACCGCCTTCTGCAACACGCAAGTCCTGTCGAAGGTGACCGCCTTCTGCAACACGCAAGTCCTGCCGAAGGTGACCGCCTTCTGCAACACGCAAGTCCTGTCGAAGGTGACCGCCTTCTGCAACACGCAAGTCCTGCCGAAGGTGACCGCCTTCTGCAACACGCAAGTCCTGTCGAAGGTGACCGCCTTCTGCAACACGCAAGTCCTGTCGAAGGTGACCGCCTCCTGCAACATGCAAGTCCTGTCGAAGGTGACCGCCTTCTGCAACACGCAAGTCCTGTCGAAGGTGACCGCCTTCTGCAACATGCAAGTCCTGTCGAAGGTGACCGCCTCCTGCAACATGCAAGTCCTGTCGAAGGTGACCGCCTTCTGCAACATGCAAGTCCTGTCGAAGGTGACCGCCTTCTGCAACACGCAAGTCCTGTCGAAGGTGACCGCCTCCTGCAACATGCAAGTCCTGTCGAAGGTGACCGCCTTCTGCAACATGCAAGTCCTGTCGAAGGTGACCGCCTTCTGCAACACGCAAGTCCTGTCGAAGGTGACCGCCTCCTGCAACATGCAAGTCCTGTCGAAGGTGACCGCCTCCTGCAACATGCAAGTCCTGTCGAAGGTGACCGCCTTCTGCAACATGCAAGTCCTGCTTAAACTTCCCCAATGAATATAATAATTTGTTTTAAATTATTGATTTATTTAATTCACCATATAAATTGTGAAATTTTATTCATGCTATGTATATAGCAATTGGATTTTATACATACAAAAAACATGGGTTATAAGTATATTCATGACGATGCACTAAACCCTTAGGAGTCATACAGTGCCTGGGAAACTAGAGGGACAACATGAGACAGATGGAGATAATAATAATTGGATCTAAATATAAAGGATTAAATAAGACTTGACATAGGGAAGATACCTTTATTCAGCACCTTCATGAAACATTAATATAATCATTATTGTATACAAGACTGTTGGCAGAAACTGAGTTGCAGATATAGGATGTAGCGCTTCGTATTCTGGAGAAGTATGACTAATATAATCTATGCTGCAACTATACAACTACAGTGAATTATACTGAAAAGGAAATTGCATCGTCAAATTATATATATATATATATATATATATATATATATATATATATATATATATATATATATATATATATATATATATATATATATATATATATATATATATATATATATATGTCGTGCCGAATAGGCAGAACTTGCGATCTTGGCTTAAATAGTAACGCTCATCTTGCCATATAGAACAAGTGAAAATTTGTGTATGCAATAATTTCGCCAAAATCATTTTGAACCTAACGAAAAAAAAATATTTCTGTGTTTATTTAGTATTAAATTATTGTAAACAAATCTAAAATTTATTTAGTTGGGTTAGGCTAAAATAAATTGTTCTTGTTATAATAAGGTTAGGTAAGTTTTCTAAGATCCTTTCGGAGCAAAATTAAATTTTTTTATATTAACATTATTAAAAATATATATCTTTAAACGTATAAGAGAAAATTTTAGAAAGGACTTAATTTTAAATGAGTTCTTGCTAATTGACCAGTTTTACATATTCGGCTCGATATATATATATATATATATATATATATATATATATATATATATATATATATATATATATATATATATATATATATATATATATATATATATATAAACTCAAATCATCACTCGTAACTTAAAACTAAGACCGTCAACACCACCTACTTTTATTGTCTGTCATAACCAGTAACCATCATCAACAACATCCACTCACACCGATAACCAGTACTTCACAATTTTCTTGACAAAGAATCTGCCATTTCCAGGAGAACTATGTTGGAGATCACTCCACCATTTCCTAGTTGGAACCGTCACTCAGCCTGTCAAGTTACCCCACCAACTGTGGTCACGTCACAATGGCTTTAGTCATCACCGTCACTCTTCCAGTGAGTACACAAAGAAATTAACTCAGAATTGTAACTTAGGTATGTATACACTCTCAGAGATTGTCATTCATAATATTTATATGTATTGTAGGTGAGTGAGAAGAAAATATATTATGTAATGTCTGTTATTTCTTTATTCGCTTTCTTTCACTGTTTTTAATTCTTTCTTCTCTAAAACCCGTGTAACACAATTTGTCTTGTCACTGGTATCGTCATTAACACCATTGTTATAATTGTTAACATCTTCATTTTAATCATAATTTTCATTATTGTTGTCACCGTAATCATTATCATGTCTATTATCATCAGTATTATCAGGATCTTTACCACCTCTATTATCCTAGTTTACATAGCTTTACTGAAGATGTTACCAATGACATTTTGTACAACTTAATAGACATTGTCATCGTTATGTTCATTAAAATCACCTTGATCACTGTCCGGATAATCATCAAACAGTATTAACTTCATGTGGCCGCATCGTTACCAACACGACGCCATTACCATCAATATATATGATCACCCATCATCAACACAAACATGTTTATCACCACTACCATACAGTCAACATCTGGACTACCATCACCACCATCACCACCATCACTGTATTTATGCTCATTATCATCTCCAGTTACTGTTATCACCATCTTGCGTCTGTCTCAGGATCGAGCCTCCACTGCTCTGTGCGATAAATGATCCGTACGGCTTTAGCACATCACAGTATAAATATTAATTTCGTCGGGAGAGTGATGGCGATGAGTGAAGCAAAGGTGACGGAATTGTGCAATGGGATTAAGATACTGACCATGACGTCTCTTTTAGGTGAATATGGAGTTCATAGTGCATATATCCATGTGAAGATGGCGACTATGATTCTGCCAGCCAGGTGAATACAGACTTAACACTTGTAGGTAGGTGGCCACAGTGAAGCTGCTGCTTCTGTTGCCTTCTAGGTGAAGATAATCTCTGCTGGGCTCGAGCTAGGTGAATGGAGTGGGCTCGGCCAGCTAGGTGAATGTGGTAGCCATAGCACCCTCCTCCTCAGCCTCCTGCAGCACCAGCGTGGTCAGATTCAAGGCGCTCTTCACCCTCCTCGGTGGGTGGACTTCGAGGCTGTGAGATCGAGTTCGACCCACGAAGACAGAGTTTTGACGAAGGCGACGCATCCCCATGTACTCAGGCTGGTGGTGGAGGGGGCAGGAGAAGAGTTTGTTGGAGGGAACAAGGCAAGGAGAAAGAGCGGAAGGAAGGAATGGGAACAAAAACAATTTATCTATTAATCAAGATTCTTGCATATCACAGTAGGTAAACGGTGAATAATTTGTAGCTTTCCAAAGATAAATTTATCTACATCTACAATGACACACTACTCATTATTGTAGTTTATGGAGGAGGATGCATAAATATATGTGGAATTTGGCTAGTGTCGCTCAACAGAAGTAGAGAGTAAATGAAGCAGATCACCAACCTAACAGGAACCATCACTGAAGTTATGCTTCCTCGGTGAAGGATATCTTCAAACACAAGTTAGCTAACCTCAACAATGAGGTCCTCAGGCATTGGTATACTACCCGACGTCCTCGCTGTTGACCTGTTTCTAAGTGTTCGACAGATTTTAGCAAGGTTTCAGTTTATTGTGTATAGGAAACTAGCGTTCTACAGGACATAGAAAACTTGCGTCCTACAAGAATAAAGCTAAGTTCTGTACTACAGGACATGACAAAGTTGCATCCTACAGAATATAGCACGTACATTTTACTTAGTATAGGAAAGTTACGTCCTTCACTTTATGACAAAGTTGCATTCTACAGCGTATGGCAAAGCTGCATGATACAGGGCACGTAAAAGATGCGTCCTGCAGGACGTAGCATATTTGAGTTCTGCAGGGCATAGTAAAGTTGTGTAATACAGGGAATGACAAAGTTACGTTCTACTGGAAATGACAAAGTTGCGTTTTACAGATATGGCAAGTTGCGTCACTCAGGGTATGGGAAAACTGCGTCCTTCAGTGTACATAGCAAGGTTGCTTCCTACAGAGAATGGAAAAATTATGTCCTACTGGATATGGAAAAGTTGCATCGTATAGGGTATAAGACAACGCAGTACAGGCTATAGTAGAGAGTGGCTTCCTTCAGGCTATAGCAGAGTTGCGTCCTTCAGGCTATAGCAGAGACTTGCGTCCTTCAGGCAATAGCAGAGTTGCGTCTTACAGGATATGTAAAAAAGTTCCTTTAACAGTTGTTGTGACTGCTTCAGTTGGACATATTAAGATGTATGTAGAAAGTAGAATTGATAGGGGATGTTGTGACAGTGTGATTGAGGGCAGTGAAGTTTATGAAGGTTTTCTGATGGAGCAAATGGAACTGTTGTGATGGAACAAGTCAAAGGAAGTGAAGGTTCTACACTACGGTGTTTTCAGTACTACATTGATGGAGAGTAATGAAGTTGAGGGACTATACTGAATGGCAGTCCTGGGGCTGAGTCACTACCATAATGGGGGAGGGAGAGCCGAATGGTTGAGTGACTACCTTGAGGGGGTTTCCAGGGAGGGTGCAGGGGTCGGCCATGGGGCAGGAGGGTCGGTGCTGCAGGAGCTGAGGTTCCGCTTCTTTGTAGGGTTCTTGGTAAGGCTCCAACATCCGGATCTTCCCCCACCTGCAAGCCAAGCAACAAAATTAATTAAACATGACAATTAATCCTTGTTTATCATAAATATTTAAAATTTCCCTAACCATGGTTTGAAAGACAAAAAAAAAAAAAAAGGAACCCAGAGATTAGATAGATTTTGTCACTGAAGCGGCTAGTTCATTGTGCACCCCATATTATTATCATGAACAGCAGCGCAAGATCATATGGATACACAATTTGCCTAGGAATTAGGCCCCACAGGGGCTAGTAGAAGTACATGTGGATATATATATCTACAAATTATGTCTTACCTGTTGCAAACAAAGTTAGGATATTTGCTTAATAAATCTGTATTTTTTACATTCATTAATAAAATACATTAACGTATCACATAAGTTACTATGCTCTCTCTCTCTCTCTCTCTCTCTCTCTCTCTCTCTCTCTCTCTCTCTCTCTCTCTCTCTCTCTCTCTCTCTCTCTCTCTCTCTCTCTCTATCTCTCTCTCTAGTTCCTCAAATAAGTGAACAATCAAGCACAGTGTTCTAGAGAGTGACCGTAAGGCTGATCACATAGTTCATAAAAATCATGGGCGGGGCTTGAACTCGCGGTTAGAGAGTCGTAAAACTCCAGAGCGAAGAGTTCAAGCCCCGCCCGTGGTTTGTTTGTAATCGTGTCATTACGTTGTTTGATCATCACCGTGTACGCCAAACTGCCAGAAACACTTGTAAATAAGTTTAAGCCTGGCCAATACATTATCAGTCAATCTGCTTATTTACGTTGATACTCTCATAGTAAATTATAGATCTACTCAGACTTGTAAGTGTATACCTATGATCATTTATTTCCCTCCTAACATTATTCCTGATGCTTGACACAAGATATATGAAAATTATATTCGTCATTTTCTTCCAGTCTATTTTGCTTGGCTAATTTAAAAACTTTGTCATATAGGAGTAATTCAGTGTGTGATGGAATCAGAAAAAAATGTATGATAATTCCTTTTTTCTCTTATTTATTTTTAATATGAGTTCTTGGGAGGGGGCTTGAAGATTTTTTTCTCAACACGTCGGTCATCTCCCACCGAGGCAAGGTGACCTAAAAAGAAAGAAAATCCCCATAATTCATCATAATTCAACACTTTCAGAGACGAGATGCTTTCACTGTCTACAGAGATACATTTCCCTCAGGTTATAAAACTTAATATTTAAATTTGATTTTTCCTTTTAAGACTTTAAGCAAGAATTGTAGTGACTCTAATTAATCACATTCCATCTTAACCTCAATTATCTTATCAGTGATAATAGAAACACAGAGTTCCTGCCTAATATTAAGAATCCTGGGAATTTTAGGGCAGCCACCTCTTCAAGGGGGGCTCCTTGGCGTGGTGAAGAGGCTCTTGGTCTGAGGAATTAGACCTGTTGGTCTCCTTCCTCAGACCGAACCTAATTACCCCCAATCCCCCCCTTCCCTATCCCGTCCTCCCTTTTTCCTTTCCTCCTCTTCCTCCCCATCCCTCCCTTATTCCCTTCCTCTTTTTGGCCTTTGGGATTCTTCCCACAGGCACATTATTAACTAGGTAGGGGGAAGGGTACTGGGTTCCATCCTATTCCATTGAGGTTCTTGGCGGTGGTGTAGTTTGCCATGGAATCTGGATCGCCTGAGGATGTCCCGATCCCTCTCTGGTTTCCCGGGGGAGGGGGTGGCTTTGGGTGTCTTTCGGGAGACGAGTGTATCTCTGGAGGCTGCCTTTCGGATTCCGGGGGTGGTGGCCAAAGGAGATATGCATTGTGGCGGATATCCGGCCACCCTCTCTTTTGTCCACCGAGGTAGCTCGGCAGATGTGAGGTTGCTATCCCAGATTGCTGATTTACTGGCTTGAAGGGTAGGGTATGGCACGGGTTCTACTTGCGGTGCTGAGGTCCTCTTGGGCACGGAGGGAAGATTTCCAGCCCTTTCATTCCTCCTAGGAACTATTCCTCCCCATTCTCCCCTTCCATGGTTAGTAACCTAACCATGGAAGACCCAGTCCCTGACCCTGCTACCCCCGGGCCCCTTCTTGATACTGCACCCCGTTCTGATCCTGCCTCGTTTTTTGACCACTCTTCGGACACTCCTGATGCCCCTGTACCTCTTGCTGGTGCTGCTTCATCACCATCTTCAGGTACCGGGGTTTCGACTGACTCCTTCGATTTGTCTGACCTCCGCTCTCCTTTGACCATGCTTCCAGCCTCTCCCTCTACAGTGCGGCAATTTTCGAATTGCCAGCCCATCCCACGTCGGACCAACTCTGGTCCCACTCTTAAACGCCAACGTCAATTGCTTGTTGATGATACTTTGCCACCTTCTCGTTCTACTCAGAAAAGACCGGCACGCCATGCACTCCCTTTCCACGCTCAGTTTCAGAATGCACAGTGGACTAAATTCTTTACTTTGCGACCGACTTCCTCTATGGCCTATCTTTCCGACCATAGTATTGACAAGGTGCTCCTACGCCATGTTGGTAGAGATATTTCCTTTCATGCTCTCAAGAGCGGTATGTGCATCATCACTGTCCAGAATTTTACCTAAGCCCATGATCTTTCCCTTCTTTCATATAACGATAATACTCCTGTCGCTATCGAAAAGCATCATTCCCTCAATTCTTTTAGTGGTACTGTCATTCTGCCCCATACCATAGTCCAACAGAATTTCCAGACATGTGGCAACGTCATTCTTGAACAGCTGGAACTCCAAGATCTCCCAATCCTCAAAGAAAACACTTATGTCCTTCCTACCCGCGGGTGGAGACCATACCCTTGCAATGAGGGTCGATTAACTTTCCACAGCCGTGAACTCCCATCCTCTGTTTATGTCGCAGGACATCGGTTACAGGTTCGAAAGGTGATCCCTACACCGCAACAGTGTAGAAATTGCTGGCGATTTGGTCACCCAGACCCTAGTTCTCCATATCCAACTTTGGCTACGCTGTATCTCTACCAAGCATAAAGATATTGTTTTTTGTTGGGTCCCTGGTCATGTTGACGAACAGGGCAATGAACAGGCAGACACTGCTGCGCGGTCAGCAGTACATGACCTTCCAGTTTCATATAGAGGTGTTCCATTCACGGACTATTTTGCTATAATGGCTATCCACCTTCACACCCGTTGGCAACAACGTTGGTCTGATCTGCTCAATAACAAACCTCATTCTATTAAACCGAGTCTAGGTTTCTGGCAGTCTTCTTGTCACCAGTGTCGAGGTTGGGAGACTACTCTCTCCCGTCTTCGCATTGGCCACACCCGTCTTACTCATCGGTATCTCATGGAGTGACACCCTGTTCCTCTCTGTGAGAATTGTCAGGTTCCAGTATCTGTTAGCCACATTCTGTTAGACTGTCCACTTTATCAACGAGCACGCAGAATTTACCTCCAACGTCGTCTCTGCTCTGCTGCTCTCTCTTTACCTTCCCTTCTTGCTGACAGACCCTCCTTTAAATCTCTCATTGACTTTTTGACAACAACTGATTTACTCCACAAACTTTGATGCCTTTAGCACTCTCCCTCAGCCCTTTCTACCTCAATCTTTTGCTACCCTCTACCCCTGCACTATCCACTGCCCCGCTGCCCTCCATGACCTACTACTCATCTCTCTCCCTTTTGCCACCCGATACTCTCGCTTCCTTCCCTGCCCTGCAGAGCTGTATGGCCCTTGTGGTTTAACGCTTCTTTTTTTTATTATAATAATAATAATTAGGGCAGCCAAGAATAATTCTCAGGGCTTCGTTTTGTATTAGGTATGGAAGAACAAAGATATTAATAACACGGCAAAGCTTTACTTGGAGAAAGTTTTGCCGACTATGATCTAAAAGTGGAGTAAATACAGACTTGCTGAGCTGTTTCCTTGTTCTGTTATCCTTCTGTTCTATTTTATTTAGTTTCCATTTAACTGTCTTCCATCCTTGAAATATCTGTATGATATAAAAAGTGATGAAAATTGTGTAGTATTAATTACATTTTGTTTTGTATACAGTCACACTCCCGGTGAATTAGTTTCATACTTAAACTTACACACAGCAACAACATCCACTCTCGTATATTTGCTGTGTTGGCACCTTGGGAAAATTCCGAAATTAATGGGACAAGAATGTCCTGTATGTAAATTTATCCAGTAACATTCAAGAGACTGTGACTATATAGAGGAATGTTTACGTATATACACACACAGAGGCTTGTAAATATTAAGTGTTTAGTATTTTACCTCGCATGCCTGGAACAGTGTCGAATTTCTTACCTTCTTCATGAATCTTCAAGTCAAGCACTGCCTAAACTTATCTAAAATATATTTAGTTGGATTAGGCTTGTTATAATAAGGTTAGGTAAGTTTTCTAAGGTTCTTTTAGTGCAAAATGATTAATTTTTACATTAATATAAATGAAAAATATATACCTTTAAATGTATAGGAGAAATTTTTAGAAAGGACTTAATTTTAAATTAGTTGTTGCTAAATTGACCAACTTTACCTAATCTGCACAATATATATATATATATATATATATATATATATATATATATATATATATATATATATTTTTTTTTTTTTTTTTTTTTTTCAACAAGTCGGCCGTCTCCCACCGAGGCAGGGTGACCCAAAAAAGAAAGAAAATCCCCAAAAAGAAAATACTTTCATCATCATTCAACACTTTCACCACACTCGCACATTATCACTGTTTTTGCAGAGGTGCTCAGAATACAACAGTCTAGAAGCATACACATATAAAGATACACAGCATATCCCTCCACACTGCCGATATCCCAAACCCCTCCTTTAAAGTGCAGGCATTGTACTTCCCATTTCCAGGACTCAAGTCCGACTATATGAAAATAACCGGTTTCCCTGAATCCCTTCACTAAATATTACCCTGCTCACACTCCAACAGATCGTCAGGTCCCAAGTACCATTCGTCTCCATTCACTCCTATCTAACACGCTCACGCACGCTTGCTGGAAGTCCAAGCCCCTTGCCCACAAAACCTCCTTTACCCCCTCTC